CTGTACCACTCTGACACATGAGCAACAAAGTCTTCACGTCGAGCAGGAGGAACACTGAGCCGTTTGCGTTTGAAAGTCCCACCGGGCAGGATGGTATTTCCTATACACAGAGTAGTCAATCTAGGGTGATGATCTGACAACAAATCTGTTACAATAGATGATGTGCACCAGACGTGAGAGACGTTGAAACCAACACAGAGGTCTAGAATGCCTCCACAAATATGCGTGGGTTCAAGGTCACCCACAATCTGCACATCTTGGTGACTATTTAGTAGCGACAGCAGTTGATTCCCGTTACCGTTACTGAAGCGAGAGCCACCAATGTCCTTGTGTCTAGCATTGTAGTCACCAAGAATGATGGTGGGCTCTGCTTGAGCGCAGGCCGGAAGATCAATATAATTTAACTTTCCTGCTGGAGCATATAGATTAAATACATTGAGAACAGAGTTGCCCACATAGATCCTCACTCCATGATACTGTTGACCCGCAGTTTGTTTTTCTGGCAGAAGTTGATGGGGTAGGGATTGTTTGATGTATAGAAGGCAAGAGTTACTGGATCTGAGGTTGTAAGAAACAAATGAGGGCAATTTCGGGGGTGAGGATCTTGCGGGAACTCTGCACTCCTGAAGACATACAATATCGATGTGTTCAGTTGTTACTTTGTGATGTAAATCTGAGAACCTTTTTTTGAGGGACGCAATGTTCCAGCTAAGGAAGGATTACTTAGTTAATTGTGCATTTAAAGTCAGCATTATATATTGATATTATTAGTTCACTTAATATATATTATCTATATACATATTATCTATTGCACTACGGTATAAGTCCAGAAACATTTCTTAGTTTATTACCAATGTCACACATTTGCCTCCAATGGTCTAGTACAATTTGTCGGTCATTTCCAGCTATAGAGTCGTTTTGAACATAGTTTAGCACAACTTTGGCAGTTAACCTGCGTGGAAGGACTCCACTACACAAGGTTTCAAGATCACTAGAAGTTTCCCCCTGATGGGCAAGCGAACACATGTTTGGAGGGTTCAGGGGTGGAAGGGGAGGGTTGGGAGTCATTGCTTACAAGTCCCCTCATACACGTGACCATCACTGCAATGTCGCTGGTGGATTTTTTCTATGAAGAGTCCAATCGGAAACTCACTTTTGTCAAGGGCTGAGTAGATTAAGTCAAGCAGACTAACAATTGCATCATTGGTACTCTTTTGGGAGCGGAAGTCAAACTGACAGGGACTTAGTATATTGAATTTTACGGGATAGGAGTAGAGCAGTTTGTAAATAATTTTTTCAAATATTTTTGACAATATAGGTAGATTTGATATGGTTCCGTAATTATTTATGTGTGCCGTGTTACCTCCTTTATGAACTGGCGTTACTCTTACTTTTTTAAGGATATCAGGGAAGGTGTGACACTCTAGGGATTTATTGAACAGTAAAGCTATGGGTGGTGCAAGGGCGTGGGAGGCGCTCTTGTATACCATGGATGGTATTTCACTGATGTTCCCAGCTTTGGTGTTTAGTGAGTGTATGATGGACACAACATCTGTCGGGCTGACCGGAGAGAGGAGAAGAGAGTTTGGATAGCTGCCTGAAAGATATGTGGTAACATGTGTCTGAGTCTGTGGGATTGTCCGGGCAAGGTTAGCACCAATCGGTGAAAAGAAGCTGTTAAATTCAGTTGCTGTTTCAAGGTCTATTGCAGGTATATAACCATCCTTGGAGATTTTTATCTTGTTATGTGAATGTTGTTTAGCTCCTAAGATGTTAGAGATGACTCCATGTGCTTTTCATGTTGCCTTTTGCTTCTTTGAATCTATTCTCGTAATAGGAACGCTTTGCTCTTCTTATTATACTGGTAAGCACTGATGAGTACCTCTTAACTACTTCCTTTGCAACTAGGCCAATCCTATGTTTTTTCATATTCATGTTTCCTGTCGATTGCTTTAAGTATGCCATTAGTGAGCCAGGGATTATTTAAGCTTTTGCCAGTTACTTGCTTGGTGAGGAGAAGACAGTAAGTATTGTAAAGGCTTAGAGTTTTGGAGAGGAAGAGGCTAGTTAAGGAATTTATATCCCGAGTATTATAAAATTCAGATTCCCAGTTTATATTGTGGAGGGCAAATGTGAGATTGCCTATTGCTGCTTCACTGTGTAACCTAAAGGTAATTTTAGTATTAGCTGGTAGTGTTATGGCCATGTTCGCTACGAGGAAGGTATGATAGTGGTCAGTTGTTCTGTCAGTGATTATACCAGATGTGAGGGGGAGCTGTTATGTTGGTCCATAAGTTATCCACGGTAGTTATGGATGTTTGAGTGAATCGGGTGGGCTTGGTGATTGCGGGGATGAGCATACAGGAATTCATGCCGTTAAGAAAAGTCAACTTGAGGGCTACCTTGTTGCCCTAGGTCAATATTGAAATCATCCTCCAGAACTATTTGACTTTTGTTGAGGTTGTTGTTTATGATAAGATTCCTCAAGTTATCTGAGAATGCAGCTATGTTAGTATTGGGAAATCTATAAATGGCTCCAACAGTCAAGGAGGATTTAAGGGATTTAATTGAAAATTGAGCAAAAGTATATTCACAGTAGTCATCTCTATCACTAATGACACTGTTGCAGATGAAGGTATCTTGGTAGTATATAGCTGTGCCACCTCCTTTTTGTTAGGCCTACAGTTGTGAATGGCTCTATAACCAGCTAAGTTGAGTAGTTGGGTATGGTCTTTACTTGGCCAGGTTTCTGTTAAAATAATGAACCTAGTGCTAGGTTCAGTACCTAGTGCTGAGAGTAGTGCATTTATATCATCAAAATGTCTACTAAGTGATCTGACATATACAGCACTAGTCAGTTTTTCTCTTAAGTAGTAAGGGTGATGCTGGGTCTCTCATCACCCTTACACAGAAGGTAGTACTGAACTGTTCAATTCTTTCACATATGGTTGAGAGTTTCAGCTCCTCCCTCATGCTGATGATTATTGTGCATCTGGCGGCCCCAAGAATTATCCTCATGGCTCCATTTTGAATTTTCTCTAAACTTTCAGCCTATTGCTAAGGAGACAAATAAGGTGCAGGGCGTGGTAGTCGACTAGTGACCTGATGAACATCATGTAGAACATTCTCCCATATTTGACATTAATGACAATGTGCTTTCCAGCAAGCGTTTTAAGAAGACTTAGTCTTTCTTTAAGCTTAAACTGTAGTTCACTTACAATGTCACTATTAATATTCACACCGAGGTATCTGTATTGCCTGCAGTTTTCAATGCTCTGATCATTGACTTTAAAAACAGGAGGATTATTGATTTTGGGGAACATAAGGCCCTGTTAGGTTTTACCTGTGGAGACGATAAGTCCACATTCAATACATTTACTTGCAAGTGCATCAAGGAGAGTCTGCAGCCGGTTGCCACTGTTTGCAATGACGCAAATGTCGTCTGCATAGCAGATGACAGCCTCGTCGACTTGTGTAGGTATGTCAGCTATTGGTCTATGCATCAACACATTGAAAAGCGTAGGACTGAGGACGCCTCCCTGAGGTGTGCCCAATTCAAAGGAGGCATTAAAGCTACTCTAAACCCCCTTATAAATTACTGCGGCAGTTCTATTACTCAAATAACCCCGAATCCATTTCAACAAATCTCCCCTGACATAAAAAAAGCTAGTTGCTCTAGGATAAGTTTCCTATTAGCTGTGTCAAAAGCAGCTTGGAGGTCAAGAAAGGCTACGTGAGTGGGGCTATTTGTTCAGGAACAGTCCTACCTAACCTAACCTAACCTAACCTAGAACATAATGGGCCAGGGTGTGAGACCTTAACATACCACATAGTTTACACTTCGTGTCATTATCATGAACACCTATCCCATATTCTCAGTAATATTTGTACCCAAGCCTGAGCCGCATGTACACAGAGTCACTCCAAGCATTTCTCCTTTTACCATAAGTGAAATGGGTATTTTGACTCGCATACATGTAGTGTTGCATGGTTTGACTTCTCATACATTATCTCTCTCCTCTCCACTCCTGCCTGTGCCTGAGTATTTCTGATTTTGCTTCTTATTTGTCTCATTGTGAATTCACATTCAATGTCAACTTGTGGTTTTGATGTGGCACGTTTGGCCACGTCATCCGCCACCTCGTAGAGCACTATTCCAACATGAGATGGAATCCTCATGAATTTCACACTATAACCTTTCAGCTGTATCTCAGTTATCCTTTTCTTACAATCCTCAACTATGGACATGAAGACTGGGTTTCGACTGTTTAAGGAATCAAGTGCTCCTCGGCTATCGACAAATACAAAAACATTTTTGTCGTCATGACGTACTTCCTCCAAACACGCCAGAATGGCCTGCAGTTCAGCTTGTGTGGATGATATATAATTACTAAGCCGGAGTTCAATTATCCTGTCCATAGAGTTAGAAGTGAGTTTAGTTAGTTTAGTTCACTTATTATTATGCACCCCATACCCATCTTGTAGGCGGTAGTGGAAAGGGTTACAGAGGCACATAATGGGCTCAGTTAGAAGTGAGTTGACTCCTGCCCGAAACGCTTTGCGTAATAGTGGCTTTAGGCATTGTATGTACTAGCTCTATCTATAAATCTATCAATTTTTGTAAAATCTCTTTATTTATTTATTTTGATTTTCACCATTAGCTTACTGAGGACAATCCTCTCAGGGACCATGCACATTCAAGAAGTTAAAGATATCGGCCTAAATTTGTTCGAGTTTGACCTAGGTACAGGAACTAAGAGGCAAACTAAACATATTTTTGCCAAAATTTAGTAAACAATTGTAGCGGCTGACGCAATACTAGAAATGAAGGTACAGTTTACCAAGTTACTAAATTTTTGTAAAGTGTACCTTCAGTTCTATAGTATTGCGTCAGCCATAACGATTGTTTACTAAATTTTGGCAAAAATAGAAGTTTACTTTGCGTCTGAGTACCTTTCAAATAACAAAATTCTGGTACAATTTTATTTTATATTTCACTCTTTATATTATTGGATTCATAGTACCTGTATAAGTAATTAAATGGTACCGAAAAGTTTAATATTGGGAGGAGCGGAGCGTTCCGTTCCGTGTTGCGGTGGTCAGTGTGATGAGCGTGTGGCCGGTGGAGGAGGCAGATGTGTTGTCATATAAGGTTAGAGTAGTAGTCTGTGGCTTCACCTTCTCATGCTCTTGTCTATCCTTAGGCTTTAAAACTTGTAAGGTTCCGGGATGTGCATTATATAAAGTAGCATAAGTTCCTCGGTGCAGTAGCTGGTGTAGAGAGAACATTCCTTTGTGAAAGTTGAGAGGACACGACCACTGCCATTTGGCACAGATGTGGCGCACACAACAATGATTTCCTGCTGTTACTGTATGTGTGTGTGTATGTTAGGCTGAGAGATATGTTCCCTTGTATGTATGTGTATGTTAGGCTGAGAGATATGTTCCCTTGTATGTATGTGTATGTTAGGCTGAGAGATATGTTCCCTTGTATGTATGTGTATGTTAGGCTGAGAGATATGTTCCCTTGTATGTGTGTGTATGTTAGGCTGAGGGATATGTTCCCTTGTATGTATGTGTATGTTAGGCTGAGAGATATGTTCCCTTGTATGTGTGTGTATGTTAGGCTGAGAGATATGTTCCCTTGTATGTGTGTGTATGTTAGGCTGAGAGATATGTTCCCTTGTATGTGTGTGTATGTTAGGCTGAGAGATATGTTCCCTTGTATGTATGTGTATGTTAGGCTGAGAGATATGTTCCCTTGTATGTATGTGTATGTTAGGCTGAGAGATATGTTCCCTTGTATGTGTGTGTATGTTAGGCTGAGAGATATGTTCCCTTGTATGTATGTGTATGTTAGGCTGAGGGATATGTTCCCTTGTATGTATGTGTATGTTAGGCTGAGAGATATGTTCCCTTGTATGTGTGTGTATGTTAGGCTGAGAGATATGTTCCCTTGTATGTATGTGTATGTTAGGCTGAGAGATATATTCCCTTGTATGTGTGTGTATGTTAGGCTGAGAGATATATTCCCTTGTATGTGTGTGTATGTTAGGCTGAGAGATATGTTCCCTTGTATGTATGTGTATGCTAGGCTGAGAGATATGTTCCCTTGTATGTATGTGTATGTTAGGCTGAGAGATATGTTCCCTTGTATGTGTGTGTATGTTAGGCTGAGAGATATGTTCCCTTGTATGTGTGTGTATGTTAGGCTGAGAGATATGTTCCCTTATATGTTAGGCTGAGAGATATGTTCCCTTGTATGTGTGTGTATGTTAGGCTGAGAGATATGTTCCCTTGTATGTATGTGTATGTTAGGCTGATAGATATGTTCCCTTGTATGTGTGTGTATGTTAGGCTGAGAGATATGTTCCCTTGTATGTGTGTGTATGTTAGGCTGAGAGATATGTTCCCTTGTATGTGTGTGTATGTTAGGCTGAGAGATATGTTCCCTTGTATGTGTGTGTGTTAGGCTGAGAGATATGTTCCCTTGTATGTGTGTGTATGTTAGGCTGAGAGATATGTTCCCTTGTATGTGTGTGTATGTTAGGCTGAGAGATATGTTCCCTTGTATGTGTGTGTATGTTAGGCTGAGAGATATGTTCCCTTGTATGTGTGTGTATGTTAGGCTGAGAGATATGTTCCCTTGTATGTGTGTGTATGTTAGGCTGAGAGATATGTTCCCTTATATGTTAGGCTGAGAGATATGTTCCCTTGTATGTGTGTGTATGTTAGGCTGAGAGATATGTTCCCTTGTATGTATGTGTATGTTAGGCTGAGAGATATGTTCCCTTGTATGTGTGTGTATGTTAGGCTGAGAGATATGTTCCCTTGTATGTGTGTGTATGTTAGGCTGAGAGATATGTTCCCTTGTATGTATGTGTATGTTAGGCTGAGAGAGAGATGTTCCCTTGTATGTATGTATATGTTAGGCTGAGAGATATGTTCCCTTGTATGTATGTATATGTTAGGCTGAGAGATATGTTCCCTTGTATGTATGTATATGTTAGGCTGAGAGATATGTTCCCTTGTATGTTAGGCTGAGAGATATGTTCCCTTGTATGTTAGGCTGAGAGATATGTTCCCTTGTATGTGTGTGTATGTTAGGCTGAGAGATATGTTCCCTTGTATGTATGTGTATGTTAGGCTGAGAGATATGTTCCCTTGTATGTATGTGTATGTTAGGCTGAGAGATATGTTCCCTTGTATGTATGTGTATGTTAGGCTGAGAGATATGTTCCCTTGTATGTGTGTGTATGTTAGGCTGAGAGATATGTTCCCTTGTATGTATGTGTATGTTAGAGAGATATGTTCCCTTGTATGTATGTGTATGTTAGGCTGAGAGATATGTTCCCTTGTATGTATGTGTATGTTATGAGAGATATGTTCCCTTGTATGTGTGTGTATGTTAGGCTGAGAGATATGTTCCCTTGTATGTGTGTGTATGTTAGGCTGAGAGATATGTTCCCTTGTATGTATGTGTATGTTAGGCTGAGAGATATGTTCCCTTGTATGTATGTGTATGTTAGGCTGAGAGATATGTTCCCTTGTATGTATGTGTATGTTAGGCTGAGAGAGAGATGTTCCCTTGTATGTATGTATATGTTAGGCTGAGAGAGAGATGTTCCCTTGGTGGTATACTCCCAGCGACGAGGGTAGAGCAGGGGGTAGAGCAACATAAACATTCTGGGAAGCTCTTCAAGGTGCGCTCCTAATGTTGAAAAGTTGGTAGTGGGTAGGTAGACCTGCCTTACCTATCGTGGGTAGGTAGACCTGCCTTACCTATCGTGGGTAGGTAGACCTGCCTTACCTATCGTGGGTAGGTAGACCTGCCTTACCTATCGTGGGTAGGTAGACCTGCCTTACCTATCGTGGGTAGGTAGACCTGCCTTACCTATCGTGGGTAGGTAGACCTGCCTTACCTATCGTGGGTAGGTAGACCTGCCTTACCTATCGTGGGTAGGTAGACCTGCCTTACCTATCGTGGGTAGGTAGACCTGCCTTACCTATCGTGGGTAGGTAGACCTGCCTTACCTATCGTGGGTAGGTAGACCTGCCTTACCTATCGTGGGTAGGTAGACCTGCCTTACCTATCGTGGGTAGGTACAGTAACTTGAAACATCACTGCTGTACTGTCATTAGATTGTGGCACAAAAAGGTATTACAGGAGTCATGAAATTGGCAGACTGTAGAGTGGTAGTGGTGAGGTGTGGTAGTGTGTTGACTGTAGAGTGGTGGTGGTGTGTGGTAGTCTGTTGACTGTAGAGTGGTGGTGGTGAGGTGTGGTAGTCTGTTGACTGTAGAGTGGTGGTGGTGAGGTGTGGTAGTCTGTTGACTGTAGAGTGGTGGTGGTGAGGTGTGGTAGTCTGTTGACTGTAGAGTGGTGGTGGTGAGGTGTGGTAGTCTGTTGACTGTAGAGTGGTGGTGGTGAGGTGTGGTAGTGTGTTGACTGTAGAGTGGTAGTGGTGAGGTGAGGTAGTGTGTTGACTAGAGTGGTAGTGGTGAGGTGTGGTAGTGTGTTGACTGTAGAGTGGTGGTGGTGAGGTGTGGTAGTGTGTTGACTGTAGAGTGGTAGTGTTGAGGTGTGGTAGTGTGTTGACTGTAGAGTGGTGGTGGTGAGGTGTGGTAGTGTGTTGACTGTAGAGTGGTGGTGGTGAGGTGTGGTAGTGTGTTGACTGTAGAGTGGTGGTGGTGAGGTGTAGTAGTGTGTTGACAGTAGAGTGGTGGTGGTGAGGTGTGGTAGTGTGTTGACTGTAGAGTGGTAGTGTTGTGGTAGTGTGTTGACTGTAGAGTGGTAGTGTTGTGGTAGTGTGTTGACTGTAGAGTGGTAGTGGTGAGGTGTGGTAATATGTTGACTGTAGAGTGGTGGTGAGGTGTGGTAGTGTGTTGACTGTAGAGTGGTAGTGGTGAGGTGTAGTAGTGTGTTGACTGTAGAGTGGTGGTGGTGAGGTGTGGTAGTGTGTTGACTGTAGAGTGGTAGTGTTGTGGTAGTGTGTTGACTGTAGAGTGGTAGTGTTGAGGTGTGGTAATATGTTGACTGTAGAGTGGTAGTGGTGAGGTGTGGTAGTGTGTTGACTGTAGAGTGGTAGTGGTGAGGTGTGGTAATATGTTGACTGTAGAGTGGTGGTGAGGTGTGGTAGTGTGTTGACTGTAGAGTGGTGGTGGTGAGGTGTGGTAATATGTTGACTGTAGAGTGGTAGTGGTGAGGTGTGGTAGTGTGTTGACTGTAGAGTGGTAGTGGTGAGGTGTGGTAATATGTTGACTGTAGAGTGGTGGTGAGGTGTGGTAGTGTGTTGACTGTAGAGTGGTGGTGGTGAGGTGTGGTAATATGTTGACTGTAGAGTGGTGGTGAGGTGTGGTAGTGTGTTGACTGTAGAGTGGTGGTGGTGGTGAGGTGTGGTAGTGTGTTGACTGTAGTTTTTTTTTTTTTTTTTTTTTTTTTTTTTTATTATTTTCTACCACAGACGTGGCCACACATTTACAATGCTAACCAGCATATATACATTTTCTTCTGTCCTCCATGGACAGGGTTAGAGAAGTGTTAAACATACAGTTCAAGGGTTTATTGAACACTCAACCACAGAAGGTGATTCGGTGCTTTTAAAATGCTAAGCTAACCTACATACGTAAATACATAGATACACAGATTTACGTATGCCCTACATAAAGTATTAGATGTGTCTTTTACATAGTGTCATTAATGTACATTCACATAGGTGAAATGTAATTCTGATCAGCTTCCATATATGCTTTATACCCATACATATACATACACACACATACACATACATATATACACACATGCATTCACATACATTTGTCTCATTTACCCTGACAGGGTGAGGTAGCTGATATGTAGAGTGGTAGTGGTGAGGTGTGGTAGTGTGTTGACTGTAGAGTGGTGGTGGTGAGGTGTGGTAATATGTTGACTGTAGAGTGGTGGTGAGGTGTGGTAGTGTGTTGACTGTAGAGTGGTAGTGTTGAGGTGTGGTAATATGTTGACTGTAGAGTGGTAGTGGTGTGGTGTGGTAGTGTGTTGACTGTAGAGTGGTAGTGTTGTGGTAGTGTGTTGACTGTAGAGTGGTAGTGTTGTGGTAGTGTATTGACTGTAGAGTGGTAGTGGTGTGGTGTGGTAGTGTGTTGACTGTAGAG